GAAAAAAACAGTTGATACAGCAAAAGAGATTTGTGATACTATTTTTTAGAACAAATTCCATATTAGACTTTTAGATTAAATGGTTTAAATTGGACTTAAGTTGTTGGTTGCACAGAAATAGGCTTTTAGGAATGTTGAGACAGATATTATTTAAATCTGATTCTGCTTTCTTACCCTGATAAAGGTACAGCCAGTTTAAGTTTTATCACATTTTTAAAATCATGACCAATGAAATAAGAAAATTCCTAACAAGAGTTTTCAAATTTAAGTGTGTATTATATAAATCACATGCTAAGCCCCCTTGCTAAAGAACTTCATTGATTAAATCAGACTTGGGTAGTGTCAGTAAAATATAATAAAAGCTCAGCCGTGATATTTGCAAATTGCACATTTAACTTTTGCTTATTTTTTTAAAAGTTTTATTATGTAAAATTTCCAGCACTCACAACATAGACTAATTTAATAAACCTCCATATAACCAGCATCTAGATTCAACAGATACAAACTGATAATTCTTTCATCTTAAACCTTTCCCTCCTTTCACACTTGGATTATTTTAAAGCACATCCCAGATAAGATCTTTTCATCCATAAATACTTACATATTCTAATAAACAACTTCTTAAATAAACACATAACCACAGTTCCACTTTCATACTACTTATTGCCTTTAACCTCCAAGTATTTAAATGACTACTGATATTATTGCTATTGGTACGATGATTACTGAGGTTTACAATTTTTTTGCGATTCTTTCTGTCTTAGGATATGACCTACTGGGAATGTATGATATTTCATATTACTGTTTTTGTTTGTTTGTTTGTTTTTTAAAGATTTTTATTGGGGAATTGGGGGATGGGAACAGTACTGGGGAATTGGGGGAAGGGGAACAGAGAAGTTGCTGTCGTTTTGTTCGTCAGTCTAGTTGTGGAGGATGTTGCTTCACAGGCCCAAGTTGGCACCATCATTGCGCTCTTCCCGGGTGTGGCAGATCAGTAGCCGGCTTCTGGACAGCCACTCACACTAGCTGCTGGCCGCTCACGCTGGCTGCTGGCTACACACGGTAGCCCATGGCAACCCACTGCCACAGGGGCTGCAGCCTACGCCGTCACTGGCGACTCACGGCAGCCCAGCTCCAGGTTGAGCTGTTGTTCAGCATCTTAGCTGTAGAGGGCAGTGTCACTGGCCCTCACATGTGGGATCCGAACCG